CATGTGGATTTTCTTCCCCCCAAATCCGACAGTTCTGTTTATTCACAAACCATTAAGGTGGAAGTGCGCCTCATCGCTAAAGATTATTTTATTCTGGAATGCATCGTCAACTTCATGTTGTTCCAATATCCAGTTGGCAAAGTTTCTGCGCTGTCTATGATCGGGTGGCTTCAGCTCTTGTGTCAACTGTATTTTGTAGGCATGAAGATGCAAATCCTTTGTCAAAATCCGTTGTAGCGTACTGCGATTGATGTTTAATTCCTGGCCGCGATGCCGGATGGAAGTACTTGGATGTTCAGTAACACTGGCTCTCACGGCGGCGATGTTCTCGGCAGACCTTCCATGACGACGACGCCTAACACTTTTCTCGTCTTTCAGTGCAAATGTCCGCTCAAATTTGTTGATCAAATTTTCAACAGTGGGCCGCGACGGACGATTATGTACGCCGAAATGTTCACGTAATCTGCGCATTGTCATTGTAAAGTTTTCTCCATTTTTGTAATGAGTTTTTACGATTAATAGACGTTCCTCAAGAGTGTAACGCGGCATTTTAATAAATGTCAATGTTTTTACCAAACACATATCCAATATGGCCGACTTGACGTTTGACAGACAGCAATGGCGCGCGAATTAAAATTCAAGTTCTTGTTGGGACACCCTTTATAAGAGACTGCTCAACCAAATATAGACAAACTATATACTTTTGGAATCGAGGCATTGTGCCCTTCAAGAATATAGGACTAAATATAGGGCATCCCATTTGAAAAAAGCTGAAAGCATGCAAAATTTCACATTTCTGACATTCAATTTTTGTTTCTGACTCGGTTTCTGACCATGGATTCTAAAAATTTAGCCAAAACTGTACAACTTTTGTATTTACACCTTTCATCTATCAAAGGTAAAGGCTGTAGGTGGGGTGTCGATACCTATATAAAAAAAACACCCTGTACTTTTGTATTTTTCACAATAATTGGTATCCAGTGATTGACTGTAATAAAACTACCCCGTGTATTTCCATTGTGTTCATGGCTCAGCTCTTGCGAAACGTCCCGGGTAGTTAAAAGAAGTTGACCATTTATTGTGAAAAATACTTTCTATTCTATTTGATATTGAGAGTGACTAATAAAACCTATTTTAATATGCAAATCCCTTAGAAGATGGCAAGAATAAATTAGCAGAGTTGCTTTTGTATGTAATTTAACCATTTATTTGATATAACCTGCTTACCTCACCCTTTAACAAACCGGAATACAATAGTTTTGCAAAGAATAAATTTTTTTAATAGGTATAGTTCAAGTTATACAGTTAGAGTTTGGAGTAGTTGTGGTTGAGTTGAAAGTGGGCAGGTTTCGGCGTTAACTGGGTTACGAAAAGTAGTTATAAAGCGGTAACGAAATTATTAGGAATGTTAGAATCCCGGTTAGGATATGGTCAGCGATATTTAACCATTAACCAGACGTCAAAACGCTTTTTGTGACCAGGGCCCTTATTTTTGGAACAAGGGAGCAGCGTTCCTATGAGAATGAGTGTCCCGTTTTTGTTACTCATACTATCATTTAAATGTTACTGAGAAAGACAGAGCAATCGTTCTCATAAGAACGCTGGTCCCTGGTTTCAAAAATAGGCACCCAGGAAAGGCTGGGATCACGACAAGTAGAATTTTACTAGAATTCTACTCTCGTGACGTCACCAGCGAGCTATTTATCGTATACAGTAAAGTCTGTTTCTTTTTAAAGATAAAAGTCAAAATGACATTATGTTGGCAATACAATGTAAAACTGTCAATGCTTTCAAATTTTTTATGTAGAAAAGGCTTGTGTTGCCAACACAGTTACTAAATTTTTGACTTGGGGAATTATCTTAAAAAAAAAAAAAACAGTTTTTATGTACATATACAGTACAGGCGATGATGTCGGTTGCTAGTAGGCAACCTGATGTCATGAAAGTAGAATTCTAGTAGAAACAGAAGAAAACTTGTTTTATGAAAATATTATAAATATCACATATTGAATGTGTATCCAGTGATGACTATCCTTATTTTAAACCCATTTCTGAATTTTTAGACGATAGATTGTGGGTATATAGTCGCATTTTAAATTAGGCTCTCCAAACCACGTGATTTTTCAATATGGCGACCGTGGAAAATTTGACGTTTGTTTGTTTATCTTGAGTTTATTTGGAATATTTTCAAGCTAATTACAGTTTATTTTGTTATAATATACTTTTTGAGTTGCAGAGTGAATATTTAAAGACTTGAATGCAGGAAAATCGGGATCTGGGCGAACGGTTAGTTTAAAAAAATGTCCAGATGACATTTTGATCCACAGTTCACATTAATGAGCAAATGAAGGCCTACAAAAGCTTAGATTCTTACGAATATTTCGAAAATGGCTTTATTTCAGATGCAGGAACAGTGGTAGTGAAAAATTTTCACGTTTTAATTGGAAAATTTTAAAACAAAGGGCAATGAAAAAAGCCTGACATCATCCTTGTTACCTTGTTGAAACTACTTCCACAATCAACTTCAAGACCCGTTTGTGGCATTTTTAATTGGAAGAAACGCTAATGAAGTCAATTAAATAAAAAAATAAACAGAGTTCATTCACAAAACAACCACAAGATGCACTTTAAGAAGCTTTAAATTACATAAAGTCTGTTTTTTTTTTAAAGATAATTCCCCAAATCAAAAATTTAGTAACTATGTTGGCAGCACAAGCCTTTTCTACATAAAAAATTTGAAAGCATTGACAATTTTACATTGTATTGCCAACATAATGTCATTTTGACTTTTATCTTTAAAAAAAAAAACAGATTTTACTCTCATATACGGGATAATGAACTTCCGCCACAACGCACTTTTTGACAGGTCGTTGGAATGCCTAATAGAAATAATTACTATGAACTATGATTATTGTCTTGACATGTCATGACGCAAATGAAATGACCGTCACCGTCACTCGTCACGATTTTAAATGACCATCACACACATCACTGATGACTAGAGTCCGGATTAAAAAGCATAAAATAAGCGCTTAAAAAGCATGTAATTTTTCATAAAAAAAGCATGAAATATGCATGAACAAGGCAAAAAAAGTAGAAAAAGTGGAATAAAAATTATTGTTATGATATGATGAATACATGATAAAAAATATAATAGGTAACTAAACATTAAAATAAACACAACAAAGACTCTAATGGACAACAAAAAAAATAGTTCTTGTAGAAACAAGCAATAACTAAATGCTGATTTAAATGTTCCATAGTAAAGTTTAATCTTCTGTCACTTAAAATGTTTTTGTAGTCGGAAAAACTTCATTCTACGTCAACACTTGTTATGGGATCGTATTTAAATTTTGCAACCACATAATATGGGTTCATTTGCAACTCTAAGTCCCGGTTTATTCATCTGCAGATAAACTTGTTGGTAACTATCTGCAAGATAAATTCACCGTTCTATAATTCTATTAGTCAATTGATAGCTGGTCGATCGATAGGATTACAGGTTCCATGTGTTTTTATCCGTCAGATTGCATACCTCACAGTTTATCACAAGGTGAAATAAACTGGCCCTGAGTATCATCTATTGGTTTCTGGGCTGGGGTTTCCCGCGTATTATCGATTTTTAAAAAAAGGAACATAGGACGAGACTCGCGAGACAGAAGGTTTGTTTATTTTATTTCGCGTTGATATAAGAGTGTGCGTGTGCGATATAATATACGTTTGCAGTACAAAAAAAAGCTGTGAATAAGCACAAACCATAAAATAAGCATAAAACTTGAAAAAAAGCAAAATAAGCATTAAAAACAGTGCATTTTTGACATTGTTTTTGTCTAATTCGTCAATATTTTAAGTCGTCTTATGTTTGCTTGTAATATTAACAAAAAGCATAATGCCTTGAAATCCGGACTCTACTGATGACCATTAAACACACAATAGATATAGGTTTTTTATGTTATATTTAGGATGACGTCATCGAACAAGGTTAGACAATGTTGTCAATGCCTGTTTTTTTTCTTGTAATTTACCAGAATATCATGTGTCAATAATTCTGACAACACCTGAAAATAACAAAATGAAAATGTTTATACAAGTCATGCAACATCACGCGCCGTTGCCAACCAAAAACATCTGAAATTCCTCTACTTTAAATGCCTTATGCCTTAAAAAGTACTTTTAGTTGTGTTAGGTTGGCAGCAGAAATTTACTAAATGTGACGTCATCCTATATATAGCGTGAAAATCGTATATTTATTTTATTAAGGGAAAATAAGAAATACTTCTTTGACGCATATGGAAATTTGAACCGAGGCAAATTGAATCCATGTAAGTCACATAAAGTATACTTTATACTCCGAATGAAATATAATATTTTATTTTCAAACGATCTCAGTCCAAATGATGCAGAATTTTTAATTTAAATTATGACATTCATATTTAGAAGGATCACCTCTATAAAGCTCCATGTACAGGGTGGCCCAAACTCGAGCCTCATCATTGGAATCTCGGTAACCGTAAGAGATACGGGGACGGGGTCGGTTAAATTATGGCAATGTTGCTCAATTTTATGACCAATAGAATGTCGTTTTGAAACTAGAAAGATTCCGAATACTTCCGGAGATATTCGGAAAAACCCGAAATTTTGTAAAATCGCTTTTATTTTTTCCCGGGCTTATTTGAAAAGCAATTTTAAAACAAATGCGACTGCATCATTGTCACTTTTTCCCGACGTTTCGTCTTCAGGAGGCCATCCTCAAATTTATATATTTGAATGAATCACAAACAATCTTGTATAAAACATGTCGCAAAATTGCTGGTTTTTTGCACACAATGTGTTGAACGAGATCAGTGGTTCTTCTCATTTAATACCAAGAACACGCTCATTTTACAACTTGTTACATAAATAGCTATTTATGACATTTGAAAATAAAAATATTTGTTTTTAGCATTAACAATTTTACATAAAACTGACACTATATTTGTTAATTTATATACATATTTTAGTTGCAGGTTCAAGTATCTTGATGTTAACAAAGAAATGGATGCCGTAACCAACCAGTTTGCAGATTTACTGACCAACCCTTCCCAAGATGTTACTTCAAACGAATACCTTGAAGTAGATGGAAGTAGAAATTCAGAATTTCTCCATAAACTTGAAAAATGTATCAACGATCCGATATCAGGACATACATCGTATAATACAGCATTTGATCAAACCAACATGGATAAGAATGGTGATAATCCAGAGCAAGAATCTTGTCCAGATGACAGTATAATAAGTGTAAGTGATGATAGTTCATCACAACTTCACACATCGGGTTATGAGTTTGTTAACGAAGATTCTGCAAGTCCTGCGATGATTTATATGAGAGAAGAGGGTCAAGAGCTTACTAAGGAAGCTATTAAAAATGACGATTCCTTTAGATCTGCAATGCAAACATCATTTGTCAATAGAGTTGAGGTTGATAAGGTAGATCCACGTTTAAAACTTGACTTCAATCACTTGAGTGGAATTACTGAAAAAACTGAATTCACAAGTGAGTTTGTAAGTTTTTCTTCTAATAGCGATGCATCGTCAAATATCCCTGTAATTCAAATAAATGATGGTACGGGCTCTTCCTATGAGAATCTTAGTGGCTCATTTATCTCCGAGGCTTCTGAAAATCAACTTAACGTTTCAACGTCATCAGTTAAAAATGATTATTTTACTACTGCATCATCAGAAGATAAAATTGCTCCATCATCAACTTTGCCTCCAAGTGATTTAAGTTCATATGAAGACGAAAAAAACAATTCAATAGATTTTGATGATACACTAGAGGAAATGAATCGATTTTTAGCACAAGGCATGGACTACATAATGCCTGAAAAAACTACAGTAGTTAAAAATGTACCCCTATTGGAACAAAACCTCATTGTTAGTCCCATTTCAGGTTCATTTGAAAATGACAGTGACAAAGAGTTTCCCTGTTTAGAAACCAAGCCATACAGAAACTGTTATTCAGTTGAAAAAGTTTCAGCACCAAAGCCAACTGCTAAAACCTCTAAAAGTGCCACTAAACCAAAGTTTGTTTCCAAAATCAAACTTCCGACTGTTACAAAAAAACTTGGTGGCAACGAAGCGAACGCCATATTTAAGGTTCCAAATAAACCCATTAGGACTCCAAGTAAACTGAATCCAGCACTAAAAAATGTTGTGAGCCCTGTTGGAATTTACATAAAACATTCACCAAAAGTTTGCCCAATGAGAAATGCGCCTCCACCAACTAAGTTAAAGCTACCATTATACACACACACTTCACATGCTATCAGCTCATCTCATAAAGAAAATATACCTGCTTCTGAGGATTTCGATATGCCCACGGTGATTTATAAACCAGCTAGAAAGCAAATTGCTACTGAGGTGCGCCAAGTCAACTTACCGAACAGCATTAATAAGCTGGTTAATCCTCAAGTGGTTACTAAACACGAGGCTAGGACTGACAACTGTAATCAATCCATTGAGAGACGATTGATGGAGTCGGATTATTCAATCAATCTATCTTTGGATACAACTGCAGGAGATGTGTCAATTTTGACGCATAATCAGCCATTCAATTTGAAAAAGTTTTAAGAGAATTTTCGTGATAATTAGTATGAATGTGTAGGGTAAGGTATTATGTTATATTATAATGTGAAGTCAAGTTTTATTCAAGGAAGCATTGTGTGGGAATTTTGTTTATTTTTAAGATATTGTATTTTTCAATGTTCCACCAATATGTCATTGGTTCCAGCAAATATAGGTGTGTTATTTATCAGAGTAGTCGTCGATTTTTTTTTTTGACATTTATACCAATGAAATAAATATATGTACTTTCCTTTATTTTGTTTATTTTTTTAATTCCTTTATACCATTGTTCTTGGCGATTTGGCTGTCCCAATGCAAAACGCAGTAACTAAAATTTTCGTCAAAATTCGGTCTATTCGAGATTTGTGGTTGCTGTGTTTTGATAAACATTTTGGTATTTTACAAGCTTATCCCCTGATAAATAAGGAAAATAGAGTGCATTCAAAACACAGTAACTGGTAGCGAAAAAATATTTCAGCATGACAAAACACAGTATTTATCAAATAATATATCAAAACACAGTAACTACTTGGCAGTTACTATGTTTTGTTATCGTTTTTGTTGTTGCTGTGTTTTGTAATGGGAAATAGGTTGGAATTCGGTTGAAGGAAAGAAATGGCAGTTATGTACAAATTGGAGCCACATCATCGGGATCTCAGAAACGGTGAGAGATACAGGGTTGGTTAAATCAGGGCAAAGTTGTGTAATTTGATGCTTTACAAAATGCCGCTTTTTCTGGGGAGATATCCGGAAAAAACGAAATTTTGCAAAATGGTTTTTATTTATTCCTGACTTTATTTGAAGTGATATTCCAAAAAAAATATCACTTCATCATAGCCACTTTTTCTTCCCTACAAGATGCTATCATCAAATTTAAAACTTGACGTTTCGTCTTTGAGCAACTATCAGCAACTTTATTTTGTTAAACAAAAAAAAAAGGCAAAAAAAACCTCGAAATTGTTTCTTGGAATTACATTGGAGAAGTGATATAGAGCCTTCAAAGTAACTGGAAATTTATTGTCCGTCCTTTACACGTTCTTTTCTGTAGAAAATGGCAAAATTATGCAAAACTAGAAATTTCAAGTTTAAAGTAGGTATCATCGCACACCCTGTATGTTTTGTATAGAGCTTTTTCACGACAGCTAGTTTTAACTGTGATCATAGCAAGTTAATTTAAATTAACGGATCCTGAGATACTACTGCTTAAACTTGTCGACGATGGGTTTGAAGCTCTGGGTGTCAATATAATACTAAATTTGCATTATTTGATAAACAAAAAAAGATATACGAAAAAATCCAAAAACGGTTCGAGGGATGTCAGGGATGAACATAATAATCATTCTAGAAAAAATAAGTAAAAATAATTGGAGAAATGGCGTGGCAACAAAAATTTTGAATTTTTATCAGCCTGTATAAAAAAACACTCAAATTCTAAATTTTTTTGTGTAAAGCAGATGATTAACAAGGAAATCAATTTCAAAAATGGTGAAAACGGCATGTTTTTTTACGACGGCGCTGAGCTGCCATCGAAAAGCTAACTTTTTTTCTAACATAATTTACACTTCTATCTGTAAATTTACAGTTGTATCTGTAAATTTACACTTCTATCTGTAAATTTACAGTTATATCTGTAAATTTACACTTCTAACTGTAAATTTACAGTTATATCTGTAAATTTACAGTTATATCTGTAAATTTACACTTCTATCTGTAAATTTACAGTCAATCTGTAAATTTACACTTCTATCTGTAAATTTACAAATTTACAGTTATATCTGTAAATTTACACTTCTATCTGTAAATTTACGGTCAGCGTGGGTCAGCGTCGGTCAATGTCGAATCGGTTAATGTCGATCGGTGTCGGTCAGTGTCGGTTAGTTTCGTAACCAGTGCCGGTCGGCTTCGGTCAGTGTCGGTCGCTGTCGGTTAGTGTCGGTCGGTGTAGGTCAGTGTCGGACAGTTTCGGTCGATGTCGGTCAGTGTTGGTCCATTTCGGTCACTGTCGGTTGGTGTTGGTCAGTGTCGGTCAGTGTCCGTCGGTGTTAATGTCGGTTAGTGTCGGTCGGTCGGTGTTGGTCAGTGTCGGTCAGTGTCAATCGGAGTCGGTCAGTCAATGTCGGTCGGTGTCGGTCAGTGTCGATCATTGTCAGTCAGCGTCGACACCGACCGACACTGACCCACACCCAAGTAGCACTCCCATGTTGGGCCAATATTGGGACAATAACTACGATTTATTGGCCCAAGTCAGATTCTCTATGTTGGCCCAATAAAAGATGTGGACATTCTGCTATATTTGTCCAAGAACGTATGTCAATATATACCCAAAAACAAATACCAACGTTGGTACAATAACGTAACCAAATGTTGGCCCAAAAAGAAATAATCAATATCATATCAAGAACTTTATGCAATATAGAGCCAATTGAAATTACCTATATTGGCCCGAAGACGTATGTAAATCTTGACTTTATATTATATTTAATTAAGGTAACGGACCAATTATAAGGACCGACTAAGAAGTGTTTTCTCTCTGCCGGACCATCCGTGGACCCGTTTCGCTGTATCACAAGTCATCAGCATGGTTAAGTCCCGCCAGGGTCCCGCAGAGAGAAAACAACCAATTTTTGGCTTCATCCTGGAACCAGGTTTAAGACAGGTAAAGTGAAGACAGAGTCTCCATCTATTTTTTGGTCGGCACACCAAGTGCGCACATTGAATACTCTATATTGGACCAACATTTTCAATTCAGAAAATCTAACCTTGGTAAAAATTAGTATGTAAATATTGGCCCTTCATTGGGTTTTTCAAAAAGTATCAATATTGCGAAAAAATTGGAAATAAATATTGGGTATACAAAGTTTTTGAAGTGAATTTAAATATCAATAAAAAATTGAATGCCAATATTGAATTAATATTATATTACAATATTGTTTCGATAATATAAAATGTAATATTTGGCCAATATTTCATAAATCAATATTGTAGTGAAAAGTCTTGGGCCAATATTCAAATTACTGAAGAGTTAATTAATCTACGAAAACAACATTGGTACAAGATTATTTTTAAATATTGTTTCCACATAGTTAAAACTAACGTTGCCCCAATATTGGTACTGTGTTGATTTATCAACAAAAATGAATAAATATTGGCCCAACTGAAAAACGATGTTTACCCCATATTATGTGCTACTTGGGCACTGACTGAAACCGAACGACACCGACCAACACCGACCTGGGGCCTTATTCTGTAAGAACAATCCGTTCGATTCGGTAGAATTTCTTCGATTGTCACGTCATTCTTGATTTGCTTTTCGCGCTACCAAATCGATAATGACGTCACAATCGAAGAAATTCTACCGAATCGAACGGTTCGTTCCTTACAGAATAAAGCCCCTGACCAACACTCTCACACTGACCGACAATGACCCACACTGACCGACACTGACCAACACCGACCGACACTGATCGTCACCGACCGACACCGACCGACACTGACCGACACTGACCGATACCGACCGACAGTAACCGACACCGACCGACGCTAACCGACGCTGACCCACGCTTACAGATATAACTATAAATTTACAGATAGAAGTGTAAATTTACAGATAGAAGTGTAAATTTACAGTTAGAAGTGTAAATTTACAGATATAACTGTAAATTTACAGATATAATTGTTAATTTACAGATATAACTGTAAATTTACAGATATAACTGTAAATTTACAGATAGAAGTGTAAATTTACAGATACAACTGTAAATTATGTTAGAAAAAAAAGTTAGCTTTACGATGGCAGCTCAGCGCCGTCGTATTTTTTCGAGTTTTTTTCCGGTAATTTATTAAAAAGTTGTCGCGTCTCAAAAATTGGTGAAATTTATGCTTGGAACGAACCTTGTTGAGTAGGTAGTTTAAGTTTTAAGTCTAGGAGGCAGTGACGATTTCCGGTACTTATTTTCCCAGTCACGAAACATGGATAGAATTGAAGGGTTAGTGTTAGTGATTCGTTAGCAAGGTCGGATTAAGGTCTTTTGGGGCCCGGGGCTATTTTCACAAAAGGGGCCCCTAGGTCCCTGAAATAAATTCAAACGTCACTCAAAATTTTACCTTGCAGATTAAAAAAATGTAATTTTGGACAAACTGTTTGATTTGGAATTTTTTTTTCTTGAATAAATATTTCTGAATTATCCACCACTATCACCGTACTTAGTAACATTTCTAAAATTTGTTTTTTAAATCAAAATAAAAATTAAAAAATTGGCAAATAAAAATTATTGCCATGTAATCAGCTAGATATAGTAGTTCTCTATAACTTTCTCGTATAAATATTTTTGATATTATGCATATTAACGCCAAAAAGTTATGATTACAGAATTTTGTTGGACAGTTCTGTTGTACGTGCAAATCTGATCGAGCAAAAACGATACAAAACCGAAGTGTGTGGGAAAAGTTGTCGTTTTTGCTGGCATACAAAACCGATGCAAATATCTGGCTTCACCTGATTTTATGTTCCAAATGTCAACAAACCTGGAGTGTGCGGGCTTTGAATTTCAAAAACGACGGTTTTGTTTGGTGTAAATTATATGCATGATTTCATCCCCGCGTGAGGTGGTGTTTTGGGGCCCCCCTCATTTCGGGGCCCGGGGCTTTAGCCCCCAAAGCCCCCCCCTTAATCCGGCCCTGTGTTAGAGCTTACGAATGCACGGCCCTTTTTTTTTCCAGTGATAAAAATAGGTCTACTAATCAGAAGTATACTGAAATTACGTAAAAAAATAGTCCGGCTAATCTGTGAGTATGGATCTTGTATGGATAATAAGTCTGGCAAGTAAAAAATTGAAGATCCGAAAAACTTCAGCCAGACTAACTTTCCACTATCTGAGATAAGCCAAATTGCTATGTTCATATACTTTATGTTCTATTGTAGTGAATGTGAAATATTTATGACTGGGAAAATAAATGTACTTGTATTTTTCATTGATCTAGTGAACCCATCCGAAAATTTTTGCGAAACGCAAATATTCTTGTTGTGTATCACCGAGAGAACAAACTATTTAATATACACCAACTGGGAAAATAAGTGCTAAAAAATTTCACTGCCTCCTGGACTATAATTAATGAGCATTTCCGAGTTATGGCTTAGTAAATCAGAAATTCCGAGTTATGACGTCAGAACTATGAACTAAGAACTCGGAAGACAGATTGCACAACCGGGCCGCATGGAGGTAAGTAACATCCTATTTAGCATTCGGTAATCCGTT